GTTTGAAGGAAGATAAATAATAGAACATTCTGAGAGTCATGAAATAGTACATCCTGTAGGGAGGCTCCTTAAGCTCAGGAAGTGAGCAACTCAATAGCTTCAGGAAATCCCTGAAGTGACAGGGTTCAAAATCCCCTCCCTCCTCAAAACAACGTTGAGATTTCACCTCACCTCACAGTCATTCTAATGACTAGTATTTAAAAAACACATACACACAAAATAACAAGTGTTGACTAGGATGTGGAGAAACTGAAAGCTTTGCAAACTAAAAGTCTAAAATAGCACAACCACCGTGGGTTAAAAAAAGCATGAAAGTTTATCAAAAAATTAAAATGACCCTATGTCCAGTAATTCCTCCTCTGTTTATACCCATCAAAGAAAACAGGGTTTCAAGTGATATTTATGCATGTTCATAAAAGTATTATTCATAATAATTTAAATGTGAAGGAAACCCATCTTTTTTTCTGACTGAAATACGAATATATTTATTTTAAAAATGGTTGGTTTGGGGGCTGGAGAGATGCAGTTAAGGATACTTGCTGCTCTTTTAGAAGATCTGGGTTCAGTTCCCAGCATCCATATGGTGGCTCCCTAGGTCTTGCAACTCCAGTTCCAGGGAATCTGATGCTCTCTTCTGGCCTCTGCAGGAACCAGGCAGCACATAAAGCACATACATATGTGCAGGCAAGCACTCATACACATAAAATAAAAATAAATCTTTTTATAAAATGAATGGTTTGTATCAGAATACAAACAGGGTTTACACATCATTTTGGTTGATACATTTTTTTTTAAATGTATGCTTTTAATCTATGCTCTTATCTTGAACTAAAGTCCATTGGCAAGATAAAAAGCTGTCATTGCAGCACTAAATATGAAACTTAGAAAGTCAGCATTCTGGGTATAGGAAATTATTTTTACAATATGGACATAATCTGGACCAAAGACTTTTATCTAACTTTGCAGCCAAAAAGTTTTTGTTTTTGATGTAAAAAAAAGTTCTAATTCCTTCCTGTGAGAGCAAGGACTTTCTCTTGTGAGAAAGGTGTTAATTCATTCCTGAAGGCCCTATCCCATGACCTAAACACCTCCCCTTAGACTCTACCTCCTAACACTGCTGCACTGAGGAAATCTGTTGATGATCTCATTAAGGAATCTTTGTCAAGTCATCTTATTCCTCCTTTCAAAATTCTCTGTCTTTTAAAAGTTTAATTGTGGGGATGGAGAGATGGCTCGGGTATTAGGGGTGCTTGCTGCCCCAGTGACCCATTTCCATCATTGATGCTCCATACCCTAAAGAAAAACTTCATACCTCCCCAAAGAGTGCCACCAGCAGGGGACCCAAATGTTTAAACACATGAATGAATCCATGTGGGGACATTTCACAGTGCATGGGTACCCAATACCCGTGTCAGGCAGCTTACAATACCTGTAACTCCAGCTCCAGGTGATCTTTCACTCTCTTCTAACCTCCTTGGGTACAGTACTCATGTGCACAGACACACAAACACACAGGCAAACATATTTAGAAATAAATTTTAATAATTTTTAAAAGTTTGCTTGTAATGTGCTTCCATATAGATCTCTTTAACTTCAGATAATTTGGTCCATTAAACCTCTTGAATGTTCATATTCATGCCTTTTCTATGTTTTGAGATGTTTTCTGCTATTTCTTCAGTTTCTCTGTCCTCCATTTTCTCTCTCTTTCTCAAAAAAAAAAAGATACGACAACAACAAACCCCCACCAAAACAGTTTTTGTCACTGTAATAGATATCTGAGAAAGTAATATAAAAAGTGATAAGTATTTTGGCTTACAGTTTCAGAGTCACAGAATGCCAAGTGGTAGGAGTATGTGGTGGAGGCTGCCCACTTCATGACAACTGAGGAAAGAAGGGGGAGAGAAGGGGTGGGGGGGAGACAGAGATAGAGATAGAGAGAGAGAGAGAGAGAGAGAGAGAGAGAGGAATATGAATACACCTGTGCCCCCAGTCTATTGGATGATTGTTTTAGTTTCATTTCTTGTCATTGTGACATACCTGATAGAAGCAACTTAAAATAAGGAGGATTTGTTTTGACCCCTGGTTTGAGAGGGCACAGTCCACTATCGGTAGAGATATGGTAAGGTTCATGGTAGTAGGAGTAAGTAGGTGGAACCCCTCACACCTCCATAGACCACAAAGCCGAGAACTGGAAGGCTATGAAACTTCAAGGCCCACCCCCAGTGACCCACTTTCTTCAGTGAAGCTTCACATACCTCTCCAAACAGTGCCATCAGCTGGAGACCCATGTGTTTAAACACATGAGTCCATGTGCCGGCATTTCACATTCAAACTACAATGATGTTGTCTACATTCAGGGCAGATCTTCCTCTCTTGGTTGGTCATGCCCTCACAGACAGATACATCCATAGGTGTGCTTTAGTAGTCTAGGAATCTCTCAGTCCAATCAAGTTGACAATCAAGGTACTGTTGTTATACTCAACACAAGGCACAGAGGAATGCCACACAGTGATGGTCAAATTAAGAGTCCTTTAACAGTTGGTGGTCAAGGGTTCCACAAATGACTCATGACCCTGAGGAGAGGCAGAGCAGGGTTTATAAACATTAAAACCACAATTACTTCATACCAAGGGCAAAGCAAATAACCATGGTTACAACATACCAGGGGCAGGTCAGTCAGTTAACAAAAAGTTTCTAAGTTTTAGTTAGGAAAAAAAAAGTTTCTCAGAACTGCAGAAACAATGGGCTCCGTGGAGCTGCAGGTGTAGTGAGGAGAGAGAATGAGGAAAGAGAATGTTCTGCCTGGCTGGATCAAAGTTTCCCAGTATTGTAGAAAAAATGTACTCCCTGAAACTGCAGGTGCAGTCTTTATGAGTCCTTCTGCCTGGCTGGATGTGGCTAGCCAGGGCAGGGGGAGCCGGGTAGGCAGAAACACAGGGTAGAGCAAAAGTCCGCTAGAACAAAATGGAGTCACTTTGGGCATTTCTCCTTCTTGGACTCCCACGAAGTGCATGTTGGTCTGCTTGACAGTGTACCAACACGCTCTGTAGGATCAACATGCTCTGTAGAATCTGTTTCTTTTTGTTCTTCAAACTCAGTAATTCCATCATCCTGTTTTTCAAGGTCATCGATTATTTCTTCAGCCTTCTCAAGTCTGCTGTTGAATCTCTCTGGTGATTAATTTTTTTTAAAATTTAGTTTTACTGTTCTTAATTGTGTGTACATGTGTGGGTGTCTGAGGAGGTAGGTGCATGTGAATGCCAATGACCTTGGAGACCAGAGTGATAGGTAAATCGAGACAAATCGAGAGAAAGCACAAGGACACAGACAAGAGCTTTAGTGGGATAGAGTTTATTGGCAGAAAAAAGCACGAGACAGTCCCCTAATTCAGGATGGAGGAGCTGTCAGTTTACAGGCTATTGGCTGGGGGCTTTTACAGGGAGTTTGGGGATGCAGAAGGCAGGAAAACTTTTTTTTAAACAAGTTAGGTGGGGGAGAGAGCCCACAGTTTATCAGAAGAGAACAGCCTCTGTCAAACTGCCCCCTTCTGTCATTCAGGATCTGGGTCATGGGATAAGGGGTCTACACATTGTGAAACTTATCAGGAGGAAACAGCTTGTACTGAGACAGCTCCTACATCAGTGGGTCTGGGGTGCAAGGGCCTGTTTATTTTCTAAGATTATCAAAGGGGAAGCAGGCTGTGCTGAAACAGCTCTTGCCACAATCGAGTCTTGGATCATAGGTGTAGGGAGTTTGTTTATCTTGTCTGCAGGTGGTCAGGGTGCTTATTAACTCAGTCCCTGTATTTTCAGAGAGCTTGAAAACCATGAGGCCCTGTTGCACAGGGGAGGTGGTTACTGCAAATATGAACCCTAACACAGAGGAGTTGGCTCCCCTGGAACTAGGGTTACAGACACAGTGTTGAACAGCTTGATGCGGGTACTGGGAATCAAACTCTGGTCCTCTAGAAGAGGAGTAGAGGTTCGTAACCACTGAGCCCTCTCTCCTAAGAGCTATCTCTCCAGCCCCAATTCTAAAAAAATTTAATTGTTGTACTTTTCGCTTCTAAAATTTCCCTTTGGTTTATTGTTTGTTTGTTGGTTTATTATTTATTTAAGACAAAGTCTATCTAGCTCTAGTTGGCCTGGAACTGCCTGTGTAGGCCAGGCTGGCCTCGAACTGTTTCTCCTGGCTCTGCCTCCTGAATGCTAGAATTAAAATCATCCATCACCACATCCAGCTTGGTTTATTTTCTAGATTCTTTATCTCTTTATTGATAATCTCATACCTCATTTTGTTGCGTTTATCCACATCTTTATTTTCCCTGAGCATTTTGAAGACAGTTGTTTAAGGTTTTACAGCTTTAAAGCTGTAATCAAGGATCAGCTTAGACATCCTAGACATTTAGAGTATGGTCCTTTTTGCCAGCCTGTCTCCTATTAGCTGTGTGCAGCATCCTCCAGGAATGTTATGTATACATACTGATGCCTGTAGTAGAGCCAGGAAAAAACTAGCTTAACAGGTTTGTTTGTAAAGCTTTCTCTTGGTCTTGGCCTCCCATCTATGGTAGCAAAAACCTTTCCTCTTGGTATAGTGAGTTTGTCTTTCATCTGGGAGTTTCATCTCCTGTTTTCAAAGAGGGAAAACTGGTGTGCTTTGCCTGTACCTGCTGCTTTTCAAATGCCATCAATTCAAAGAACTATGCCAGAGTAGCATATTTTGAACTCTTCCACCTACCCAGCCAGTATTTATGCTGTCATTGTCCCCTACAAATAGAATTTATATAGTCTTGATGAAACTGTCCAGATTAATATTTTACATTTTTTTTGTTTCCTTTGTGCATATGTATGACCAATGAACAGTAGATAGAGGCCATCAGATCAGCTTTTAGGAAAACACTTGTCCTTCTCTCCTCCCCGCCTCTTCCCCCCTCCTTAGGCCCCGCCCAGCCTCGCCTTACCCTGCTCCTTCCTGCCTCGGCTCCTCCCTCTCCCCGCCCATCTGGGGCCTGGAGGAACCGCGCCGGAGCCTAGGAGCCTGCGCTGAGGGGACGCCCTTGTGCGCCTGCGGGGCAGCAGGGCGGCGGATCGTTTGAATTTCACTCCCGGAGCAGCTCCCCCCGGTTTGGCGTTTCTGGCGGAGACTCGTGTCCCCACGCCTTGGTACCCCGCGACGTCGGCGTTCTGAGGGGTCCCTGGCCCCGGAAGCGGCCCTGGCATCGCTCAGCAGGTTGGGAGACGACAGGGGTTTAGCATCCGGGGTGGGCCCAGCACAAAATCGTGACAAAACATTACGAGACAGCTTTTGCGATTTTGTTTTGGTATGTCCATCGCGCGGTTCTCCCGAAGACGTGCCGCAGTGCAGAGATCGGACACGCATGCGTGCACCGGCCCCTTCACTCACCCTAGAAAGGACGGGGAGCTGAGTTCTTCCCGGTTCGCACCAGTTAAATCCAAACCGTGAAACCCCGACTCCGGTCCCCACCCATCGCTTAGGAGGATACCGGCTCTGAAGGCAGAACGCTCTAAGACACGCCAGCACTGTGCTTTGGTTAGAAACAGGATTGTGTAGAGTTGAAAACATTTGCAATTGGATTGTGTTCTTTCCTTGTGATTTACTTGATGCTTATTTACCATTTTCGCATTTTGAAAGCGTATGAAAATTTGCCTGACTTTTCTTAACTTTTATTTTTGAAACACGTTTTTATATTTTTTATTCAGATGCTTAAAGGATGGCCTCAGATCTAGAACAGTTATGCTCTTATGTTAATGAAAAGATTGGCAATATTAAGAAAATTATGTCATTAAGAAATCTTGGTAAGTAAGACACTCATTGATTTTGTGTACACAGAGTGCATCTTGACTATTGTTCCACCCTGACTAGTTCATATTGTTAAGTGAATATTTCTTGGTAATTTTAGATTTTGAGTAGTGATTTTCTTCCCCCCCCCCAAACACTCTAGTGTCTGTTTTGAATAATGCAGGGGGATGCATTAAATAACTAGCTGAATATTCTTTAGCTTTATTTACTTAGGTGTTTCTGGAACACATAGGCCAATAGTAAGATTTGAAAGGGATATAGCTTTTGTGGTTCTAGAGCTAAACAGATCTTCGAGAAGGCAAGGGAAAAGAAAACTCATGTGGAAAGATCTGCCAAGGTTGAGGTAGCTGTTACCTGTTCTCCGCCTGATTTGGAGGAGACTTATCTCTGCACATCACATTAAGATAGCTAATTGAATATAAAATTAACTTTTTAAGCATCCATAAATTGAAGGTCATAACTATCATTGAAAATGTTTTGACATGCTGAAAAAGGGTGATTTGGTGAAAGTTCAAGGAAACAGATGATCCTTGTCAAGTTAAAATATTTTTGAACATGTGCTCCCTATTTAGGAGAGTTCAAAGATTTCTTGACAGAATTCCATCTGCCGGGAAGAGTGTGTTGAACCTTTGCTGTTTGAATTATGAATTGATAGTTTAAGTTTTTTTTTAATATGAAATTAAGTTGGATATTCCTTCTTGAAATCTGATATTTTCAGTCCTTTTTTGAGAACTTCTAATAAAGGAGCCTCTTTCATTTTGTGGTATGTGCTTCATGTATTTTGTAGAAAGTTAAAACCCAAAGTAGTGTGGGCCCAATGTAGCAAGCCCTGTTATTACACATGGGAGGAAACCAAGACTCAGAGGTCAAGTGGCTTGGCCAGGTCCTCTAACTCAGGAGCCCACAGGTTGGATGACTGTTCGGGAGTCTGAATTCCCACTTTTTCTACCTCTGTACCACTTGGTGAAAAAAATCTAGATAGAAACTTTTAGTTTCTTTTTTGGTGGTGGTTTTGTATTGAGACAAGGTTTCCCTGAAGCCCCAGCTGGCCTGGGATTCCTATGTAGACCAGGGTAGCCTCTATCTCACAGAAGAAATCCATCTACCTCTGCCTCCCATATGCTGGGATTAAAGGCATGTGTCACACCTGGCTTAATTAGCTTTCTTTAGAGTCTCTTTATGAGGACTTGATATATAAACAGATATAATTGAGGATCTATGAGTTAAATTCAAATAACCCTACCAAAACATGAGACCTTGTTGGATCTGTCTGACTTTTTCTGGCTAGATGCCATTTTGTAGATGGGAAGAAGAATTTTTCTGTTTCTACAGCCTGTTTAATAAAGCCTTGTTTGTAGTCTGTCTGCCACTCTGGCTGCTAAAACTATCAAGTATTAACTTGCTAAGTTGATTATGTCAGTAATCAATAAGGAAGACAGTTTAGACACCTGAAATGTAGGTGACTAAAATTATTTTGAGATACCAGTGTTCAGGAAAGATACTATACCCAACTAGTTGTCTAGCCTTCTGAAGTTATTCTTACTATAGACATTAGTACTCTTTTTTTAAAACCTTATAATGTGTTTTAGTTGTCATGAATTGAGTGTAAGATACAATTAGCATTGCTCAATTAGGATAATATATTGCCTCTCATGCTGATGAGTTGGCATTTAATAAGTGCTTTACTAAGTTCCAGATACAGTGTTAAGTCTGTCTTGCATGCCCTTTCACATATCTTTGTAGTAACGTGCACTGATTGGTATGTCCAACTTAAGGTGAGGAACATCTAGCTAGTTCCTTCTGCTGCCTCTGTAATCTATAGCTCTGTTCAAAATGTGCTTTATGTGCATTTCATTAGTTGTTTGAAGTACATAATAAAGATTCCTTATAAGATATATTGCTTTTTGTCCTGCCCTTAAAACTTTTTAAATTACTTCTAAAAAAATTTTAAGTTTAAGTTTAGTGTGTGTGCGTGTGCGTGTGCGTGTGCGTGTGTGTGTGTGTGTGTGTGTGTGCGTGTGTGTGTGTGAATAAGGGTGTTCTTGCAGGAGTTAGTTCTCTTCCACCATTTGAGTCCTGGGGATCCAGCTCAGGTTTGGCTTGGCGGCAGGTGCCTTTATCTGCTGAGCCATCCTGCCAGCACTGAATTACTTCTTTTATTTCTAGGGAGAAAGGAACTCTGGTTTCCCCATCCCTCTCAAATCTATGAGGCTAGAAAGAGGTGCTAGGTAGAACAGTGTATTAGTAGTCACTTTCCTGTTGCTGTGATAGAAACACTGACCAAAACAACTTATAAAAGGAAGAGTTTATTTGAGCTTACGGTTCCAGGGGAATTATAGTCCGTCATGGCAGGGAGGCATGGTGGCTGGAGGTGGCTGGAGCAGGAGCAGCAGAAGCTAAGCTCTCACATAATCATGTAGGCACAAGGAGCAAGAGAGGAACTAGAGATCTGGCAAGGCTTAAGAATTCTCTAAGCCCTCCCCCAGTGATGTGCTTCCTCCAGGATAGCCACACCTTCTAAAACCTCCCAAAACAGCGCCCTCATCTGGGTACAAAATGTCCATATACTTGGAGCCTCTGGGGGACATTTTCATTCAAACTATCACATTCCACTCCCTGACCCCCATAGGTTCATGACCATATAAAATGCAAAATGCATTTAGTCCAACTTTAAAAGTCCCCATAGTCATTGTCAGTCTTAATAGTATTCTAAGGTCCACAGTCCAAAGTCTCTTCTGAGACTCAGGTAAATATCTTAACTGTAAGCCTCTATAAAATCAAATGACAAATTACATACTCCCAACATTCAGTGGAACCAAATACACATTACCAATCCAAAAGGGAGGAATAGAAGCATAGTAAAGAAATACTGGACCAAAACAAGACCAAAAACCAGCAGGATAAACACCAAATCCAGTAGCTCCATATTTGACTTCTGGGAGTTTACTTCCAAAGGGCTTAGATGGCTCAGCCTCCAGCTTAGCTGCATGAAACACACTTCTCTCTCCTGGACTGGTACCACTCCCTGTATGCGGGTCTTCTTGCCAGATGCCTCACAGCTCTGGCATCACGAACGTCTTCTTGGATTCTCCATTGCCAACCAGGTCTCACCTTCACAGCTTCACGCAGTGGCCTATCAGGGCCTTCTCTATGCATGGGAACCCCTGCTGCACACTGCTTGGCCTCTGAGGCTTTCTGAAACCGTGGAGGAAGAATTGATGACCGCTTCACTCTTGCACCTTTCATGCCTCTAAAGCCAGCACCAGGTGAACAACACTGCCAAGTTTGACTGCAAGTTTGGGATGGACTCCAGCCTGCTTTATCCATTTTAGAAGCATTTCTCTTCAGTGGTCCCTACAGCATTTTCCTTTCACAAGTTGGAGGCTTAACCTGGGTGTGGTCTTGCTGTGGAGGCACTCTCCATTGTTTAGGTTTGAATCTCTAGGCCTCTCCTTAATCACTTTAATCTCCTTATCAATGGGATCCTCTCCATCACATGCCAGGGCTCCAGCATTAGTTTTCCTAGTGCTCTTTTTCAATCCGTCCTATACATTCTGTATTTCTTTCTGCCCCATTTGCTCTTTTTCTCTGTAAATCTGTATAATATTCACCGTTAACAGCCATGCCTCCATTTCTACATTAGGCTGTCTTGAAATTTCTTCCACCAGAAAAATTAGTCCATGGCTTTTCAACTTAGTCTTGGGCAAGCTTTTTGGCTGTGGGCAGACTCTTTGCCAAAATATCCCAATTGCTGCTTAAGTCCTTATTTCCCTCTGGAACTACATTGTTCTCAGCACTACTTTCTTCCAGGCCCCTACTAGAATGGCCTATAAAGCTCTGCTTACAGCAGTCAATTGCTTTTCTAGCCCAACCTTCCAAAGTCTTTCACGTTTCTTCAAAACCCCACATGGTCAGGTTCTTCACAGCCAATAGCTCACTCTCTGGTACCAATTACTGTATTAGTTAGTCACTTTCCTGTTGCTGTGATAGAAACACTGACTGAAGCAATTTATAAAAGGAAGAGTTTATTTGAACTTACAGTTCCAGGGGAATTAGAGTCTGTCATGGCAGGGAGGCATGGTGGCTGGAGCAGGAGCAGCAGAAGCTAAGCTCTCACATCATCACTCAGGCACAGGAAGCAAGAGAGCAAATGGTGATCTGGCAAGGCTTAAGAATTCTCTGAGCCCACCCCCAGTGATGTGCTTCCTCCAGGATAGCCACACTTTCTAAAACCTCCCAAAACAGCACCATCATCTGGGGACAAAATGTCCAAATACTTGGAGCCTATAGGGGACATTTTCATTCAAACTATCACAGACAGGAAGTATAAAATAACAGTATTTATTCAAATATTCTGTGTTTGTTTCTTCTAGGTCCCCAGGCTTCACTAGTCTGTGATTTTGCTTTCACTATTATCTCTGATTAGGGGTTTTGGGTTGTGTGGATGGTGTAAATATGGATTCCAAACTTACATTACTAATTCCCAAAGAGAGTTGCCCAGTCTTCAGTCCCATAAGTTTATGGCCCTGGCAATTAAAGTTTTTCAGGTTATACTTTAAGTGATGATAGAGTACTGGCCCTTCTAGATTCTCGTTTCTGGTATCCTGTGTTTTGAATCCTCAGTCTTGAATCTTATCCCCAGTAAAGTCAAGTATGCCCAGTTGCTTGAGGCTAACAGCCTCCTCTCCAGCATCCTTCCACACTGTGCTGACTGGGATTGCTGTGGCATCTGCTTGCACATCTTACTTAATGTCTGTGGATGCCCTTTCATATCAGAGCCATGGAAGAATTACCTCTTTCTCATGAATGCTCAGCTAGGCATATATAACAGTGTTTATTATTTCCAGGTGTTTTCTTATATTGAAGGAATTGGCCAAGAATAAAAGCTGCAGGAAACACTTTTTTTGTTTTGGTCTCTCTTCTCTTCCATACTACTTAGAAATGAGGCTTAGGCTAGGCATGGTAGCTCTTACCTGTAATCCCTGTTCTCTGGAGGCTGAGGCAGGAGGATTGTGGTCAACTTGGGCTTTTACTTAGTAAAAATCTTTCATACAAACGGCAACAACAAAACCAAGACAAATGAGGTTTAAGATTATCCATGGAGATAGGTCTAGAATTGAAGCAACAGTCCTTTCTCCACCTCACATGTCTTTCTAAGGCATAGCTGTCTATCCCAAGAGTTCACATGGGTACTTGTGTGTTTGGTTTTACCTACACTTTGTTTTCCGTTTTCTCTTTATAACAGGCCAGGAACCTGCCTTGAAGACTACATTAAGTAAAATAGGAGATGAGATCATTGTAGTAAATGAACTTTTAAATAAATTTGAATTGGAAATTCAGTATCAAGAGCAAACCAACAACTCACTCAAGGTAATGCTTTTTCTAATGTAAAACACAGTAAATGCAAACTCCCTCATCACCAGGTAATTTGTAAGAATTCATTAAGTTTATAACGTTCTTTGCTTTGTAAATTATTAGTTCGTAGAGTACCATTTGAGTTCCAGTGTAAAGAAATTCAGAACTCCACAATTATCTCTTCATGCTAATGACTAGTAGAATTGAGCTTTACTAAAAAGGAAAATTTCTAAATTCCTAGTTTAATGCAAACAATGCCCTGGGAGGGTGCTGAGTGAACACTTGCCTTGGGTTGAGATATAGGTGCTTGATTGCCCTTGCTGCTGTCAGCCACCCCAGGAAAGCCATTGCATCTCTTGAGGACTCAGGATCCTCTTCTGAAAAAAATACTGGAGTCTTTCTTGGGTCTCTTCTGTTTTTGCATTTCTAATTTTATGAACTATAAGAATTCTCCAGTAAAGAAAAACTCATGTCTCCTGTATGTTTTGTTCTAAATAGGATTTCTAATTGAGTTCAGCTAAGAAAAGTATTTGTATACTTCCTAATGAGGAAAATAGTCTGCACCAGAATTATCCCATGTGATTGTTGGCGCCATTGAGCCATTATGGTGTTCAATGAGGCCTGATGAGTAGCCTCCATGGTCCCATTCAGCCTGCAGTCCTTGACGTCTGTGAGGACTTCAGCTCTAGGAATGGGCATGATTATGCCTAGATGACAAACATTCAAAATGGAAACCAGCATTGGTATTGGTATTTCAATTCTGACCTGTCCAAGGTCATCCAAGATTAAGTGTAAGCCTAGAGAGTGGTCAACTGAGACCTGAAGCCTCTTTGGAATTTCTGTTCATATGATTGTGATTGGGAACTGAGTGTCAGAATCCAAAGGTACAGAATATTTTCTTTTTTCGTAGATTTATTATTTATGTGTATTTTTGTATGTGTCTGCATATGTGCATGTGTGAGGATGCCCTTCAGGCTAGAAGAGGGTGTCTGATCCCCTGAAGCTGGAGTTGTAGGCAGTTGTAAACCACCCAACATAGGTGCTGGGAACGGAAATTGAGTCTTAAGTGATGTTACCCTCTGAGCTATCTCTCTATCCCCAGAATATTTTCTTTATTTAAAAGAATAAAGTGCATGAGTTTCTTGCCTCAAGCTCTAGTGGAAATTAAATCACACACACATGCACACCACACCCACAAACTTAAAATACAAGTACCAGAAATGTACAAATGCTGACCTGGAAATCATTTCAGGCAGCCTCATCTGGGTTGACATTATCAGTCTGGTACTGTCATCTGGGGAATGAGTGCTCACTCAATAAAAGCAATTCACCAGAATAAAAACCATCAATCTTTCATTTATTTCTTGGTTGCCTTACAAGGTTAAACTATTTGGGAAAGACTTAAACTTCAGCCCTACCTCACAGTTATAATGTTCTTATAGTGTTCTTTGAAAAAAGAAAAAGAATCCAGTAGACAACTAGAATACCACATCACCATCCCAACACAGCTCTGAAAGCTAGAGCTCTTTTTCCTTTTCCATTTTGCTGTGTTGGGGATCAAACCTGGGCCTTGTGCTTGGTAGACAAGTGCTCTGCCAATGAGTTATGCCCCAGCCCCTAAGCTCTTATGCCTCTAAAGCTGTTTTGATCCTGCATTCTCAGCACTTATAAGGACTGTGGTTATAGTTCATGGTCTTTTCCTGTCTTTATGTCTTACAACACACATGTAGAGGAAAAAGCCTTGTTCGTGAACATTTTTGAAATTTTAGGAGCTCTGTGAATCTCTTGAAGAAGATTTCAAAGATGTGGAACATCTCAAAGAAAACATTCCCTCCCATTTGCCTCAAGTAACAGTAACCCAGCACTCGTAAGTAGATTTATAATTCTTGCGGTCTAGATTTATAAAAATATGGAAAAGAATACCTCAGAGTCATTTCCTCTGTCATGTATGTGCAGTTTTGTTGGGGCCATTCAATTGCTTGTCTCAAGCAGTAGAGACCATACTTCCCCTGTCCTGACCAGTTTCCTGCATCTCTGAGGAAAACAACCCCTTTCCTTAGGCAAGGCTTTCTTTGCACTTGTTTCTCCCTTCTACCTTTGGTCAGAAAGTTCTTTGTTGTGAGATTAGGGTGCTTAGTAGCATCCCCAATCCTCTCTCCCTAGACAGCAGTCTCACTTTGTGGATACTGTCTTCTTATGGAACCAGGGGAACCATAGCCTTTGGGGTAAACTAAGCTCAATGAATCCTGAAAAACAACTGAAGAAGCCATCAACTTAGCCCTTTTTGCCCCTGACTGCCATTCTGTTCTGTCTGTTCATTAACAGTACATGTTTGCCCTTGCCTTTCTCCCAGAGCCCTCATGCCTGGCTTTCAGCTGCCATTGCCTCCACTCTTGTGAAACCGATGACTTGTGGGTTGCGGGAGATCAGGAGCTCCTCTTTGACCCCTTGTCTGCTTTTGAGATTTTCTTGCTTACCCGCTTTGTTCTGCGATGCTGTTTCCATACTGCCCTACACTTCTTTGGCTGTCCTCCTGCATGCCTCACATGTGGCTACCTCCTTTCCCTCTTAAATGATATCTCTTGTACTTCTGCTTGTCCGACTCGACTTGTCAGGGCTCTGAAATGTCCACCTCCAGTCTTCATATCTAGGTCTGTGTTCTCATATCTTATTGGGAATCTGATGGGGGAGCTGTGTTCTCTCAGACTTTGCAGGACTGAGGCTTAACTCACTGGCTGCAGTTACCCACCATCCAGCCTGTTGTTCTTTTTGCCTAGGCAGAGACTTGATATCTTCACTGTTTCTTACTCTCTCTTAGCCGTCTCCTGTCCATTCTTCTCCTGTCCTGTTTTGTCTGTCTGTCTTCTCTTTTGTTCCCAGGGCCTTGTCCCGAATATCTGTCAGCTTTTGTCCTATCATCTTCAGACCTCTGCCACCAACATTTTGTTTTTAAAAGGTGCTTTTAGTGGGTACAAACAGTCCATGAGTAACTTAATTTTTGGAAGTATATTATATGTAGAAATATGATTAAAGTATTTTTTTATAAGTTGAAGAATAATAAGCCCATATCCATGTGTCTACCAGCCAGATTATGAAACAGGACATGACCCGTACCTTAAAACCCTTCTGAAGCAGACCCCCTTCTCTTGCAGAGGTAACCGCTTCTGGCCTTATTGATAACATTGCCTGAACATGTGGCTTTTATAAACCATATACTGCTTAAACTTAGAAAACTAAGATGCAAGCATAAATCTTGCTACAAAAGAAAGGAACTTTATTGCTACTAACAGCTGAAGGTTTCTAGAGCCAGAGCTCAACTGTGTTCTTGGGCACGACTGGAGGCACTTAAAATTTCCCTACAAGAAGAGAAGACTTCTGGGTAAAGACAGGAGTGAATGTTAGGGCCCAGAGGTGATCATAGTGTATTGTCAGGATTATAGTGTGGGCTGGGTGTTGGATATGCAGTGGGAATTCGGCCAGTGGAACAGAGCTTACTGTAGCCTGCCTTTAGCTCTCAGGGCCGGGTCATAACAGGACAAAGATTGAAAGGGCCGTTTTCAGCTGATACACTCAGCAGGGCAGGGAGGACCAATGGGGCACCTCCATAGCACATGGTCAAGAAAGGAAAGTTCAGAAAAGAATCAAACCAGTTTCATGATGGAGTTTCGTGTTAGCATTCACCCAAGGATGGCGCACACACTATTATGTTCTTAATGAAATTCTTACTGTGATTCTACCTCAGCTAAAATAGAGTATTTTCAGATTTTATTGACAGTCCACAATAGCCAATCAGGTCTGGTCCTCTGTGCCTGATGCTCAGCTGTTGTCTTGAGACCACACTTGTCTTTCTGGGGATTTTCTTTGCTTATTTTTTTGTGGATCTACAGTTTTCTGTATCTGGGATCTTCTTTCTTGGAGTGATCAGCCACGATGGCAGCAGAAGTCTATTCCTTCCCTGGCAGTCAAATAACCCAGAAGCTGCAGTCTGTTTCTAGACTCCATTTGCTTGTAAAGCAAGAGCCATATTGGGCTTCTCATGGAGTAAAACTGGACCCCCTGAACTCAGTGTGATCTGTGCTTATTGCTGGCAGTGAAATGAGTCTGCAACAGGTAGTGACTGGTATTAACAACCAATAGAATACACTGGAATAAATGAAAGATGACTGATGTTTCTAGGTTCAGACCTGAGGAACTAAAGAAGAGAAGCTATTTGGGGTTAGGATAGTTCATCGTTAGAGGAGTGGACTTCAGGAAGCCAATAGGAAAACGGATGAAGATGTGTAGTATGCATTCTGTGTATGCCATGTTTGGGGTAGATAAATAGTATAGCTGTACTCCTGAAGATTTAGGAGCCTGATTTTCAAAATTCCCGTCACAATTTAGATCTTCATATTGAAGAGGTAGAGAGAAAAAGTTGGCTGTAAATTATCAGACCAGATTGAGTCACATGTTTCAAGATTTTTTTTTTTTAGTTTGAAAAACTTGTGGCCTGCTGCTTAATTTTGACATTTACCTATACATGTATACATCTCTACCCTGTAGGGTTAATAGATCAGAGCTTGATGCTGAAGAACCAGTTAAAGTTGGGGAACTTGTATCAGCAAAGAAGCCCCCCAAGGAACAAAGAATTATTAAAGAAATGCCATTTATAACTACTGATGAATTCGATGGTGTTCCTGCGTAAGTACTGACAAAAAATCTTAATGTTCATCTCTCTAATCAGCATATGTGATTATTTATTAAATCATAAAGCTTGATTATAATAATTCTAATACAGTTCTAATATAAAATAGTTTCACATTATATCATGAAAAGGTGAGAAATTTTTCTTTAAGCCTTTTTATTTAGTTGTAAACCCTGTTTTCATAGAGATCTAGAGGTGAATTTGTCGGTTGCTTAGACTGCCTAGGACTGTTCCGTGTCACAGATTCTCCCAAAATACTTTCTCAGAAGTGACCCAGATTTGCTCTAATTTTAAGGAAGTTGAGTGCTACATAGATTTCAGAATTGGAAGGTGTGTGTGTGTGTGTGTGTGTGTGTGTTCGTTCCATATTTTTTTTTAAATATTATCCAGTTTTTTTCATGTAGAATGTCTGGAGTTTATTCCCTTTGAGCCCTTCTTGTGTTTGGATCTTGATGGCATTTAAGTCTTAAGTTGAGGTGACCCATTTTCATAAAGGTGTTCTCTGACCACTGATAAAACAGTTTACTTTTATTATCTCTACTACTTAAAATCCTAGTGATTTATTTTTACAGTAATTACTATAGTTTGAAATTGTTTATTTTTTTCTTTTTTTAAAAAATATTTTATTATTTTTATTTTATGTATATGAGTGTTATACCTGCATGTAACTAAGTACACCCATGTCATGCAGTGCCCGTGGAGGACAGAAGAGGCTGTCGGATCCCTTAAAACTGGAATTATAGACAGTTGTTAGCTGCCATTAGGGGGTGCTGGGATTCGAATCTGGGTCTTCTGCAAGAACAGTCAATATTCTTAAACACTGAGCCATCTCTCCAGCCCCTTCTTTCTTTTTTTTTTTTTTTTTTTTTTTTTTAATTTGAGACAGGGTCTCATTGTGTAGACCAGACTGACCTCAAACTCACAGACATTCATCTCCTTCTGTCCCTCTGCCTCCCTAGTTAGTGCTGGGATTAAAGGCATATGCCACCACACCTGGCTCTATTGTGTCTTGTACCATATAGTTATTTGAGTCTGTATGAATTTTAAGTGCTGGATCACTGAGGATAGTACAGGAATGAATTCCACAAGATTCCCTGTTTTCTTAGCTGGCCTGGGACTCACTATGTAGACCAGGCTGGCCTTGAACTCAGAGATCCACCCACCTCTGCTTCTCAAGTACCGGAATTAAAGGCATGCACCACCATGCCTGGCAAGATTACTTTTTTAAAAATAATTTTTATTTATTTATTATATGTGTGTGAGTGTATTGCCTACATGTGAGTAAGTACACCCATTTTGTGCAGTGCCCATGGAGGTCAGAAGATGACGTCGGATTCCCCTGGAACTGGATTTATCATGGTTGTTAGCCTCCATGTGGGTGATGGGAACTGAACCTGGGTTCTCTGCAAGAGCAGCCAGTGCTCTTAACCACTGAGCCATCTCTTCAGCCCTTTGGTTTTTAGTTTTAATTGCATTTACTTGTATACTGTGGGGGTGGGAGTGAGCATGCATGGATATGTGTGGGTATATGTTTACCACAGCATGCAAATGGAGGTCAGAGGACAACTTGTTGGTTCTTTCCTTCCACTATGTGGGTCCCAGGAATCAAACTCTGGTTATCACACTTGGCAGCAGGCACTTTTACCTGTGAGCCCAAAGTCTGTTGTTATAATTCCAGGGCTTGGCTTAACTTCTAAGTTTTTTTAAAAGACAAATATTTATAGAATAAACCTCATTTGTAATTCTACCACTCAGATGAAATAGATTTTATTTAATTGCTATACATAATAGGTATTTCTGATAGTTACTGTAATATACTTAGAACATAAATTAAGCTTGCTTACCTTTTTTTAAATTTTTATTTTATGTGTATTGAGTGTATTGCCTGCATTTATGTGAGTGCACCCATGTTGTGCAATGCCGTGGAGGTCAGAAGATGGTGTCTGATTCCCCTGAAACTGGAGTTAAGGATGGTTTGTAGCTGCCATGTGGGTGCTGGCAACTGAACCCAGGTCCTCTGCAAAGAGCAGCCAGTGCTCTTAATCACTGAGCCATCTCTCTAGCCCCTTACTTACTCTTTCATCATGAGCATTTTCTTATTATTAACTATCCTTGAAAAGATGAGCTTTAATATATATTTCATCATATGGCTATTCTGTAATGTAAACATTCCCATTCTGGGAAGTACATCTGGGTAGTACATTTCTGTGATCTCAGCTACTTGGGAGGCTGAGGCAAGAGAATGGAAGTTTTAAGGCCTGCCTGAGCAACTTAGTGAGATCCTGTCTCAAAAATAAAAAAGGGCTAAAGATGTTAGGTCAGTAGATTTGCACTTGCCAAGCAACAATAAGACTGCATTCAATGCTGAGCATTGCAAATAAATAAAATAAAATAATTCCTTTACTAGGAATTTGGGTTGGTTTCATTATTAGGAATAATGGTGCAGTGAAATTTATTTTAAATAAGTCTCTTTTGTTTATTTTTTTAAAATATTTGTTACTTTTATGTGTATGAGTGTATTATTGCCTGCATATATGTAAACGCACCTGTGTCATGCAGTGCCTGCAGAGGCGAGAAGATGGTGTCAGATCCCCTGGAACTGGGTTAGGGATGGTGGTTAGCTGCCATGTGAGTGCTGGGAACTGAACCCAGGTCCTCTGGAAGAACAGCCAGTGCTCTTAATCACTGAGCCATCTCTCCAGTCCCTATATTAAAATTATTTATTACTTTTATTTTATGTGTATGAGTGTATTGCCTGCATGTACATAAGTGCACCCGTGTTGTGTTGTGCAATGCCCGTGGAGGTCAGAAGAGAGTGTTGGATCCCCTGGAACTGGAGTTATGGATGATTGTTAGCTGCCATGTGGGTGCTGGGAATTGAACCCAGTTCCTTTGCATTTTAAGAGTTCTAGGGTTCTTTGTATATCTTCTGTCCTCATATTCCCATTGTGTGTGTATCATACCTTTTGTAATTGTCTTACACTTGTTGGGTTTTCTGTTCTTTATATTGGGGTTGGGGGGCTGTCTGTTTTTCAGGGGTTTTTTGTTGTTATATTGAGACAGGGTCTCATTGTAGCCCAGGCTGATCTCAAACTTTGCAGCCAGATATGACCTTGAACTCCTGTCCTCCTGCTCCTGCCTCCCAGGTATAGTGATTACTTGCTCAGCTTTATTGTTTGTAGATATTTTGTTTTTCCTCTTTCCTTTTCAGTTTGGGAAATTTCTGTGGACACATCTTCAAGTTCCTGATTCTTTCCTTAACTGAGTTCAGTCTGCTGATGGGCCCATCAAAAGTTTTCTTCATTTCTGTTTTTTGCATTTCCTTTTCAGTTTGGGAAATTTCTGTGGACACATCTTCAAGTTCCTGATTCTTTTGATGGGCCCATCAAAAGTTTTCTTCATTTCTGTTCTTTTGCATTTCCTTTTCATTCTGGAGTTCCCTTCTCTCCTTACTTCACACTCCATGCTTGCATCTTATCCTTGTAAAGTTACAGCTCTTGGCATAGTATACAGTGGATGCTTTGGGGGTTTTGTTGTTGTTTTGTTTTGTTTTGAGACAAGATCTTATTATGTACTCCTGGCTGGCCTGGAACTCAGTATGTAGACCAGGCTAGCCTCAAACTCAGAGAGCTGCCTGCCTCTGCCTTCTTTCTGAGTGTTAGGATTTAAAGTGTGTACCACCATACCTGGGCAGTTTTTTTGTTTTGTTTTTAGTGGTTTGATACTTACAAACCTCTGTCATTTCTAAGTCTGTTCCTGAAATTTGCTTTGTCTCTTCAGACTGTGCTTTTTCTTCTTTTTAAAAAAAAATTCACCTGCGTGTGGTGTATGCACGAGTTTGTGCAGGTGCACACACCTGTGTGTGTGCAGAGAGGGGGATGTCAGGTATCTTGCTCTGGGGATCTGAACTCAGGTCCTCATGCACAATAGGTATTCTTACCCGCTGAGGCATTTCCCTAGCCCAGAGGCTGTGTTTTTTCTTAATGCCTTCTAATTTTTTGTTGAAATTGAGACAATATTCAATAAAAGCAAAAAGAGAAAAGAATGAGGAGGGTTCTAATTGGGAGAACATCGAACTGAGTAAGATGATGCACCCAGAAAGGGAAACAGAAAAGGCCTTTAGTTTGAAGTTTTAGTTTCTGTGTCTAGGAGCTGGGTTGAGTTTGATACTTGCTATAGCTATGGATGTCAGAGGATTACATATCTTTTATTTTCTGGTTCTTTTTTCTTGTGTTGCTTTTGTTTATCCCTACAAGTTCATTCTTGAGTCCATTTTTGTGTATTGTAGCTTGCAGTTTTAACTTATTGTTTATATCCTGGAGCTCTGTTGCTATAGTGAGTTTTCAGTGCACCTGACTCTGAGCTGAGGCCTTCTGACATGTTTCATAGCTAGAAGAAGCTGAAGTTGTCTGAGTACCCTTTCTCCAGGTTCCACAACCTCTGGTAAAGTAGTTTCCCACTTGGACAGATTCTTGTTTTGGAGAACAGACCTGTTCTGGGTGCAGTTCTTAGTGGGTGCTTTCCCTTGGCCTCTCAAGAAATCACCACTAGAGAGCAAGAGGATTTTCCCCTGAAAACCTGGGGTTCTGGAAGTAACATGTATTAGTATATGGAAGGCTACCTAAACTGGGTTCCCAGGAGGTTTTTAAGTCTTAAGCTCATCTGCAATGAGCCTCAGCAATTCCTCAGTTACTGCTTTTAAAGAGCTGTCATTCTAGTTCTGGTAGCTTCTGCTCCTAGGAAACTGATTCTTTATATTTGCCATTCCTACAGTTTGAGGGCAGTACTTTGTACCATGGCCTCCATTCTCTGAGGTATCTGGGAGTGAATGCTTTTTGGTTTATTTTTGTAAGGACCAGACTGGAGCGAAGCTGGCATCTCAGAGCTCTACCTACCAGTTTTTATTCCTGGCAGTAGTGCATAAGAATATCCCACCCATGCCACGTGTCTGCTATCTTAAAATTGTTGCAAGTTCATCACTTGAAAGGTATCTAGGGCCAGCAAGATGGCTCAGTGGGTAAAGGTGCTTGCTGCTAAGCCTGATGACCCGAGTTCAATCCCCAGGACTCACATGGTAGAAAGGAAGAACTGACTCCTATGACCTCTGCACACACCGTGGCATATAGTTCACCACGCACATGCACGCGTGTGTACATGCACACACACAACACACACAAATAAATGTAAAGATAATAGAAAAATATTTAAACTATGGGGTTATTTAATGAAGTAGGAACAAAGTTGGAAGATTAAAATAAAGAAGACTGTATTCTAAGCATGAGTGTGTGTGTGTGTGTGTGTGTGTGTGTGTGCGTGCACCAGAGGTTCCTCTGTTACCCTCCACTTTTTTTGTTGTTGTTCTTTTTTTTTTTTGAGACTGAGTCAGTCTCTCACTGAACCTGCCTGGCAGTGAACTTCAGGGATTTGCTTGTCTCCCCTCCCCCACCCCCCATTTCCCTCCACTTAAATGCCAGTGGTACTGATGTGCACCCCAGCAGCTGGCTTTTACATGGGTGCGAAGATCTGAACTCAGATCCTCAGGCTTGCAGGGCAGGCACTTTGCCCACTGAGCGGCTCCCTGGCCCTAAAATTTATTTTTTAATTTTTAAAAATATTTATTTTTATTTTATGTGTATGAGTGTATTCCTTGCATGTATGTAAATGTGCCTGTGTTGTGCTAGAGGGTATCAGATTCCCCTAGAACTGGAGTTACAGAGTGTTGTTAGCGTCCATGTGGGTGATGGGAATTGAACCTGGGTCCTCTGCAAGAGCCGCCAGTGCTCTTAACCGCTAAGCCATCTCTCCAGTCCCCAAATTAATGTTTTTAATTAATACTGAATGGAAAACATTGGCAAAAATGGAAGAGATGTATATTAAGGAAATGAAGGTAGTCACTGAGAGGATTTGAGGATTTGCATTGTAGACAGTTGTGATATAAAGATTTAAGAAATTGTGGTTCAACAACAGGATGAGTTGTACATGGTGGTGCACACCTGCATTCCCAGCAGGCAGGAGGTCAAGGCAGGGAGATTGCCGTGGGTTTGAGGCCAGCCTGGGCTACATGTCTAGACCATGTCTCAAAAAAATAAAGTAAAACAAAAAACAGGACTGCAGAAATGAATTCAGAAAAAAGGAATAAGCCCAGCACTCAGGAGGCAGAGTGTGTGAGATAAAGGCCAGCCAGGTCTACATAGCAAATTGTAGGCCTGTTGGGGGGCTACAGGGAGATACTGACTCAAAAAAACCAAACCAAAACAAGATTGAAAAAAAAAGAAGCATGAAAATAAATGTTTTTGAAAATATGAACACTTTACTTTAAACTCCTGTATTTACATTAAAGAACTTTTGATTGGTAAGTGTTACTTTGAATAGGAACCCTCTGACAAAATTTAACCCACAGTTTAGGCTTTGGAGTGTCCTGACCTCTCAAAAGTAAGTCTGTGTCTCTGTCTCTCTCTGTCTCTCAGTATTCTAAGACTAGAGTTGTGGTTACACAGAAGACACATGAAAGTGAGAAAAGGTTAATGAATGAAATTCAGAGTGAAAGAGAAGATGCTTTGAGGGATTTGAGCTTGCTGATACCAAAAGTGCTACACACGGACCCCTCCACCCTTACTGTCCTGGTTCAGAGGCCTCTTGTTGTTTGTCCTTCCCTTCCTCCTTCTCCTTTTTTTCTTTCTTTTTAGAGCACATATGAGTTTTTTTGTTTTCAGAAGAATAGTGCTATGAATTATATACGTTTTCGCATTTATATCTTTCACTACCCTGCATGCATCTAAAAATATTTAAATAAATTTATGCTTTGCAGTTAATCAGTTCATTTGACTTAGAATTTGAGAGCTTATTTTAAGTGGTAGTACTAATTCTATTGCTATACAGATATGATTAGGGAAGGTAGGCACTGATGTGTTGTCATCTAATTTTTCAGCTGATTGTGGTCCATTTGGAAGTTGATATAAAACTTTTTTTTGTGAAGGGTACTTTGTAAAGTATAAGGGGCACCGTGTGTTTTTACAAGGAAAGAATGTTGTGTGACTATATTGAATAATGATTCTGTCTTCATAATAAAACCAGCTTTTCTTTTTCTTATCACTGCCCAGTTCAAAATGCTCTAATTTATTTTCTAAGATTTATTTATTTAAAGATTTATTTTTATTTGTATAAATGTTTTGCTTTCCTGAATGTATGTGTGCCTGGTGTTTGTGCAGTGCCTGTGGAGACCAGAAGAGGGTGATGGAGCTTCCACATGGGTGCTAGGAATGGAACTTGGGTTTTCTGTGAGAGCAGCCAGTGCTCTTAACTGCAGCCATCTCTCCAGCTCCCAGAGTCTCTTAAAAGCCAGCATTCTCTTAGATCTGCAGTTGACCTCGGCACAATCTTCTCTGTAGTTTTAGCCCTTTTCTAGAAAATAGGTTTAGTCTGCCCACACCACATCTCTGCTCCTGTCATAGGGTTGCTTTTCTTGTTTTTTTCCCTCCTTGTACTATGCCACTTTGTGGCTTGGTGCTTGCCACATTTCTTGCAGAAAGTTGGTCAGGTTTTAGGACATTCACCATCTTTGCAGGGGCACTGTTAGCACAGAAAGAACTTGTGTGATGATTAAAGCAAAATAGCTACATACTTTTTTTTGTTTTCTTTTACAGGTACATGAAATCCCGTTTAACATACTGTCAGATTAATGATGTCATTAAAGAAATCAACAAGACAGTAGTTAGTAAATATAAGATTATACATCAACCAAAAGCGTCTATGAGTTCTCTGAACAGAAATCTCTACCACAGGTTTATTAATGAAGAGACAAAGGACACCAAAGGTAAAGTGGTGGAATACGCATGCATGTTGACTGGGGGATAATTCACTGGGAAAATACAGCTCATTTTAGAAAATGCTGCAGCTAGGGAGTTAATTCTGTACCAGGGGCAGTTTTCCCACTGGGGACATTTATGCCAAAGACGTTTTTGTAGTTACAGTTGCTCCTGGCATCTAGTGGATAGAGGCCAAGGGTGTTACTCAAACACCTCACAGTGCACAGGACAGCACCCGAGTCTGCACTGCTGAGGCTAATGTTGCTTTTCAGTCTGTTGTGGAGCTATGCCTGTTGTTTTGAGAGTTAGAATGGGAATGGCAGCAGTTGGCTGTGCCAGTAGAGCACTTAACCATGCACCAGATGGCATACTGAGCTTTAGTCCTCATGCTATCCTTGTCCCATTTTGCAGACTAGACAAAGAAAGCATACCTTGTCCAAGGTCATCCAGTTCAGTGTTAGAGTTGTGTTTCTATTATCCGCTACGACAAAATGCCCCTGGAAAAGTGAGTTGTTCAAACATACCAGCAGCTGGTGATCTAGTAAGCAGGACTGCCCTGCTGAACTGCAGGAAGAACAAATGCAATTTCAGTTGATGCGATGTTATTTTGGCAAGAATGCAGTTTCTCACATTGAATGGATAATGACAGAATGATTAATGTCATAAAAGCTAATCTTAAAAGTTGGCCCGAAGAAAATTAGCACTGATATCTTTATTTTCAGGTCATTATTTTATAGTGGAAGCTGACGTAAAGGAGTTCACAACTTTGAAAACTGACAAGAGATTTCATGTGATCCTGAACATTTTGCGACATTGCCGGAGGCTGTCAGAGGTCCGAGGGGGAGGGCTTACCCGTTATGTGATCACTTGAGTTCCACATACTTCTCGTGTGGAGCCTAGATCTAGCATTATGTATTTGAAGATATGTATGTGTGTATGTAGATCATGAAATTAGAAAGAGGGTCCTGAGAAGTGCAGAAGAGATCTTGGGGAGGGGAACAGAGAAGGCAGTGGAATTTGTGTGATTATCTAGGAACTAGCCAGAGGCAGGGGAATTAGAGCTAAGCATAGTGACACATACCGTTTGAATGTACAAGGAACCTGTTATTGTATGCTAACCTTAAAAATTAAAAAATAATCACTGTCTTTTCAGCAAATGTTTAACCTCCTGCCATGTAAAGCCTCTGTACTAGGCATGTAATGGATCTCATGTCTAGTTTTGTATAAGTAGACAATCCCGCAGACCTTAATAAAATGGGTATACATACTATACTGGAAAAGAAAGATCAAGAAGATAAGGTCAGAGATACTCAGGCCTTTTGGAACTAAAAGTCATTCATATCTAAATTCCATCAAAGGAAATTCAGTCTACAGGTTGATCTCATAGACGTGGACATTGAGGCAGCTTATCCATCTGGTTATTAGTTTTACATTTATCCGTAGGGAGCAGCTTGCCTAACATACATTCAGTATAAACCAGCCTATAATGAAGGTGTAATAAAGGTATATTGAGATGCCATAGTATTGTGGTATAATATACATTTCATCTTTGTTCTTGGTTCCTAAAACCCTTGAAATGTCCTGAGTGATAGGGCTGCATCTTTTGTTGTAATGGATCCCTGACAGTAGCTCTCATGTCCCTTTGAATTGGAGCATCTTTCATTCTAATTCTAACGAAGAAATTGTTGGCTGGCTCCTAGGTGGTTTCAAGATGGGGCTGGTTACCAGAAAAACAAAGCCATGGTTGCTCATCTCCACTCTCAGGGAAGGGAGTGGGGCTGGAGATTATCAGCCATGCTGGTAAGACAGCTGGATAGTAAAACAGTTCTATCACAGGAACACACCCTGTGCTAGTTCTGGCTGCACCTGGAGGAGCCTGGGGCCTGCTTTACATACCTCACTCTCACCACACACCTGTCAAGCTAGGCAGGAGGATTGGTGTCGGGGTTGTGGGGAGCACTCAGAACTTTCTGGCTGCAGCGTGTGTTACTTGTGAGACACTAACTTTCATGAAAGGCACATCGAAAGTGAGAACAAGTTGATTTGAGGGGCTGGCGAGATGGCTCAGTAGGTACAGGTTCTTGCTGCCAAGCCGGACAGCCTATCAGTCCCCAGGACCCACATGGTGGTAGGAGAGAACCAGATCCCAAAAACTGTCCTCTGGCCTCCATATGCACACTGTGGCAGGAGTACTCATCATCAACCTCACCTCGGATAGATAAATAGCTTCACCTCACCATGTGAATCAAAGTTTAATTCACTCCTCAGAAGACTTCAGTGACTTACTGTTTCTCACAGAGTAAAAGTCAAGTCTCTAAAAAGGTGTAAAAGACCCTTCCCCTGGGCCCCGCCTCTACCTATCTGTTATCTACTTCTCTGTTGGGGACCCCTGCTGTGTAAAGTAGCAGTCTCTCCATGTCCGGATAGCCTATGGGCTCGGCTTCATATGCAGAGACTCCTTTTATCAGCAGGGTGCCTTCCCGGCATCTTCCTGACTCATCTTTTGAAGTAGCCATGGCCTCCAGCTCTGGAACTGCCAGCTTTTCCTGTGTGATTTTCAGGCAGTCTGACAGCCTGGCAGGAGCCCACTTCCATATGTAAATAGGGCATCCCACAAAGTACCTATCAGCTAAGGCTTTTACCACTACCCCCACAGTATAAAGTATCCTGGTTTTCCCTCAATAATCGGAGCTGGATCCCTAAGACTTGGAGCCGAGCTAAGTCACTGAATAAAGGGGCTGTACCACTGACTGAGCTGAGTTCTGTGTGTGATCCTGCCTCTCCGGAGAGAGCTGTCTCTTCATAAACCGCGACTCACGGAAATCCAGCTTTCGCCATCTCCGCACCTTCCCACGTGATCCGGCAGCTGACGGATCTCATATCTCGAGGAAGTGCATGGTGGATTGGGACGGAACCCGACCGGGCCAGCCCCGGTAGCAGAGAGCCTCAGCGACGCGGAGAAGCAGGGACCCGCCGCACCCCAGGTGCGTGCAGGAGACCCGCGCCATGCCCAGCAGCTGGCACTCCGAGATCCCTGCGCCCCCATACTTCTCAACTTGCTGACTCTGTTCCAGCCACTTTGGCTTCCATGCTGTTTCTAGAACAGTCCAAGTGTGCATCTCCCTCACCCCTTTGCACTGGCTGTTCCTCGCCCTAGCCAGCCTCCTGCCCCCTTGCCTGCTCCATATCTGCACAGTGTCACTTGATTCTTTAGACCTTCCTCACCACCCTTTATTAAAATCACCCCTCCCTGTGCACCAGTTCTCCCTCTTTTTTTTCTTCATGGCCCTAGATCTGTCTGATGGTTTAGATATTTAATTTTTTAAACTTTCCCCTGACTAGAATATAAACTTGACCTTAATAGTTTTTGTCCTTTTTGTTTACAGTTATTTCCAGCCTCTTTAACAGAGCTGACAGTAGAGGGAACTGGATAAATGCTTCTGAGTGTATGTTAAAGTACCTAGTGGCCACAAGCAACTTCACTTCTTTGTGCCTGTTTCCTATATATCAAAGTGGCTGCACAAAAATTTTATAAGGGCCCTATAGTTTTAATGTTCTGTGATTCCAATGGCCCTTGTTTCTTCTGGGAAATACATTTATTTTGGAATTAAAGAATATTCTGACTAGATCATGAAAAATGCTTTTTAATCTGATTATTACATTGTAATTTCATTTTAAAGCCAATAACCTATAAATTATTGTTTCAAAAAATGCTGAAATTCCAGGTTATTATATATTTAAAACAAGCTATGATTGACTAATGACCCTTTTGAAGATGTTTATTTTCAGCAAATATTTTTAGCTTTCTAATTTATTTCAGCCAGTATCTTTAGTTTTCAAATTTATTTTGCGTATTTTGGTCTTAGGATTTTACACGCTATTGATAAACAATGCCTCATTGTGATTGAAATTACTGTAGCACATGATATGGAACTTTTATAGCCTATAGTTTCATTGGTAGTGTTAAATGACTACTATTTATGAAGCATCCCATTTCCTGATAACCATTATTTATCAGTATTGTTTATGAACTATATCTACTAATGCAAAGTAGCAAAAAGGGAAAGAATCACTCAAGACAAGCCTTTTCTGGTATATTTCAAAGTGTGTTGCTCAGATTGAATCCATGACTACACACAGGATTAGAAGGTATATATTACATTGTAGATATACAATGTAATACACACTTTTGACCGAGCTCTGTTAAAGTCAGGTGAGCTGAAGTCTCTAAGGAACACAAAATTATGAGAAATTATAGTGCCTCTACCAACGTGTAATTTAGATTCTTGACTGAATAATTATTTTTCCCTTAGTGCATTGGAAAGCAATGAATTAGGCAGCTAAGAGGCCATTTGTTTTTAAAAATTGGATAGCATTTACAGAATAATACAGCCCAATGAGTAGTGACCACATACCTGTCTTTTTCTTAAACTTTTTCAGGATAATTAATGATTCACAGAGAGGTGTAAGAAGTAATACAGGGAATTCCTTGTCCTCTTCATCCAGTTTCCCCCATGGTAACAATTTACAAATGCAGCATCAGTGAGCTGTAGAGATGACTCACTGGTTAAAGCACATGCTGCTCTTTCAGAGGATCCCAGTTCTGTTCCCAGCACCCATATCAGGTGACTCACAACCGCACTTATGGAATACTTCATCTATCAACAGCAGCCTTCTCAAAAGAGGATCCCAGTTCTGTTCCCAGCACCCATATCAGGTGACTCACAACCGCCTATAACTCCAGCTCCAGGGGATCTGGCACCTTCTGGCCTCCACAGGTATCTGCACTCATGTGGCATACACACAAATAAATCTTTAAAAAACCACATCATCATATTCAGGGTATTGACTTTGTTGCACTCAAGATACAGAGCATTTCCAGTACCCCAAGACCTCTCCTACTGCCTTTTTAGGCCTACTGCCCTCTCACCACTTCCCTCTCCTTAGCCACTGACAGCCATTCATTAGTTTTCCATTTCTGTAATTTTATCATTTGAAAAATGATAGGGCTGGGGATATAGCCCAGTGCTAGAGTGCTTTCCCAGTATATGTGAGGCCCTGATTTAAGGTTTACAAGATCACACACACAATGAATGGAATGAAGATTCATCATGATTGCTGTACACACAAGCAGTTGCTGTTCCTTTCTTTTATTGACTATAGTCTTCCACAATACTGGATATGTCTGAAGTCATTTAATCATTCTTCCTATTGAAATCTCAGTTTCCAGTTTGTAGCCATCATGAGTTAGGCTGCTACATTCAAGTTCAGGGTTTTCTTTAAAAAAATACTTTATTATTTATGTGTATGAGTGTATTGCTTGCATGCATGTAAGTGCACCCATGTGTAGGAAGCCCACAGAGGCCAGAAGAGGGTGTCGGATCCCCTGGAACTGAAGTTACAGATGGTTGTTAGCCATGTGGATTCTGGGAACCAAACCTGGGTCCTCTGCAAGAACAGCCAGTGCTCTTAACTGCTGAGCCATCTCCAAGTTCAGGTTTTGTATGGACATAAACTCTCACTTATCTGGAGTAATTCTTACAAGAGCTATTCCTGGATCCTATGGCAGTTGCATATTTCCTTTTCAATAGCCAATTTAAATTTGTTTTTCAGAGTAGTGCCATATTAAATTTCCCTTGAGTACTGCCTTCCCACACATTTTGTTAAGTTGTATTTTTATTTTCTTGAAATATTTTTAAATTTCTCTTTGATTTTGATTAAAAAAAATAAACTTTATTTGTGTTTGTGTGTGTGTGTGTGTGTGTGTGAGAGAGAGAGAGAGAGAGAGAGAGAGA